GAAACGGAACACTTACCCATGAAAGTGAGGGTTAGAGCGAAAAGTAAAAAGAGGGAGTGTTTGCCTTAGCCCCCGTGTGGACTGGCAAACAACGCGTGCCAAACCGTGCCCCAAAAATGTCGACCAGCCATGCAAACCAGGGGACAAACGACACACACCGCACACCGGATGGAGAGGGGGAGGCGACGGTTCCCGCGCATCAGGAGCCCAACGTTGACGCTCTCCGCACACCGGAAGGAGGAGGGCAGGCGACGCCGCCGCCCGCGCCTCGACTTCCCTCCCCTTCCATGGCACAAACTGAGGACGCGGCGCGTAGCTCAGACTCCCCTGCAGTCCAGTCCAGCTTAGCTGGTGAACAGCACGCGCCCGACAACTCAGATGCACCAGCGCCACCCGCTCCGGACGCGCTGCCCAGCGACGTGTTGCCCCCAAACGCTGAAACGCTGACTGCGGGGCTATATGTGAAATATGCGCTTTACAGAACTGGAATATCCAAGTCCTATATGCAACACACAACACTAACAACACTGCAATCTACGTGCGGGTTCGGGGTTCTAATCCAGTATAGATTATGGCAATTTGGACTTAGTTCTTGTGTGAGCGAAGTGTGATTTCAACTCTGCAAGACTGAAGTTCGACTATCAAGGCTTGAACTAGACGCGGAAGCGACTAGAAAGACAAGAAAGTGGTTTTTATAACAATATGGTAGTTGTTGAGGGTTTTGGAGAAATACTCCACAAGAGCGACTTAGTTTCAAGTCCAAGTTCCGTGCAAATGTTATTCGCGAATAGTCTTATACGTTCAAGACAGTTGCCAACTAGTCCGTTGTTATCAAATCCGTGTTCTCGTGTTCGTTCTCGTGTCCTTATATCACAATATCTCGCGCGCAAACTGATATGATCCAACAAAACCAATATATTGCAAGAAACCCAAACGAAACTTTAATAGCTTCTAATGGTTCTCCGAGTGTCTCCCAAGAACTATCAGATTAGGCGCTAAGCACTAGGTGCTTGAACGTCCAACGAGACGGGGTGAGATTCACTGGCTAAACTAGAATATTACATTGCCTTTGATACACTTCAAGAACCCAAACGCGGATACAAACAAAATAGAAACAAACTCTGAGATGGGGATGGCTCGCTGACTAGCTAAGGCTAGTCGGCATTATTGAGCTATAATTAGCGATTTCTGGGTCAGTCAGCCGGAATTAAAGATGAATGGAGTATAGATATGGGTATCTGTGGACCAAAGTCCTAATTTGGCCTTAAAGCCGTGGTCAGACGACCAAGTTGGCTCAGTAAGCCCGGAGTAATCAATCCCTCATAGGAACTGATTGGCGCGCAGCTCAGCCTTGGTAGAATTACCAAGATAGAGCCCCACCTCAACGGTCAGTTGACCCCCTGACTATCAGGTATTATCCCCGCTAAGTTATACTCCTTTGTACAACCGCTTTGGGATTCCGCGAATTGCCGCCTGACGGCCTGCGAGTACTGGCTCATGCCTAGGTACCAATGGATAGTTCAATATTGCTCCTAGATGGATTCCCCTCGTAGATATCCTTAATCAGGGACGTGAAGTTACTCCAATCCGTTTCCAGGATGGTTGAGCACTTATTCGCGGATACTCCCTTCGGCCTCGTTTGGCTCCGCGACTTTACCAGAAGCGTTACACAACCTTATCCTAGTGGTCCGCGATACGTTGTACCCCTTTAACTGACTGCCCGGATATGACATCAGCCCTCAGTGAAGATGGTATGTTAAGCGCCCTGGGCGCTTATAATTATAGTAGCGCTAGCAAAATTGGAAAATTGCTAGGCTGGCCCAATGCCAGGCTCATCAACGCGTCGCAAGCTCCGGGCACCCTGATCTCAGATCACGGAGAGGTATATACACCTCCGCCGCGCCCAGATATCGTCCAGTTCGTGAGGGAGAAACGGTCGCGGAAGAAGGCGGGTGATATGTCGGCCAAGCCGGGCAAATCGTCTTGCGTTTGGGGGACAAAGTTGAAATTCTTCGAGGCCAGGAAGACGAGTGGGTGAAGGCGTCAGAGGCGAGAAAGACCGGGGAGTTTTACACCAAGTTGGCGAGGCTATACACGGCGAAGTATGGCTTCAACCTCGGTGACAATGAGGACTTCGCCGTCGACGTGGTGGATCCTCCTGACTGGGTTGCCAACAAAGTCGTGAACGAGCGGCTGACGGCAGAGGAGGCGGCGTCGCGTCAGGCGTACTGGAAGACGTGTCAGATGTAAGTGAGGCAAAAAAAAAAAAAAGGAAGCGCTCACCGAGATGATTAGCGCCTTGGCCAATGGTATCGGCACCAGTACACAAACCTCCTCAAGGAGGACAAGACCGCGTTCGGGGAGCTTTTCAGCCAGCTCGACGGCGTGCGTAAGCCGCCGCGGAAGCAGGCCATCCAGCATTACTATTCTTCCAGGTGGTACGACAAGCGCATCAAGCCGCAGGTCGAGGCGCAGCTGACGTCGCTGCCTGGGCGCGCGAAGTTCACAGGAGAGGAGGTCCACGCGATCAATGTGCAGAATGAGGTGACACACGAGTGCTGGGAGGAGGAAAGCGAGGAATTTAAGGCGGAAATGGTGCGGCAGCGCGACCGAGAGCATGAAATTACGATGAAGGCTTGGAGAGAGTCGGCTGCTGATAGCCCGAGCAGGACGCCGGAGGAGTACCATGCGTGAGTAGTGAACGCGCTCTATATATGTGAGACAATGGCTGACGGTGCCGTATCAGATCTTTGAGAAGTGCCGCGCACTATCTGCAGCCCTTCGTGGACGCGATTGCAGAGCGGTACGGGATGTGCGTGTCGCTGCTAATGTGCGGCCCCATCGGGGACCAGGGTGGACGGATTCAGATGCGAAGGTAAGTACGATTACGCTGGGCTGGGGATGGGAATGGAAATAACGACTCTGGATTTACAGCGTGCACGCGGGAAAGACGCGGGGTTTGGTGGCGAAGGACTGGCCAATGCAAGACGTGGAAGGCTTCACGCAGGTGGAGGCGAGGATGGTGGAATTCGCTCATAATGTCTTCTGTGAGGAACTGCGTCGGCAATGAATTGAGAATACGAGACTAATTGCATTTGAAAATTGCTATTTACAGCCCAGGCCGAGTGCGACGCGCGGCGCGAAGGAGTCGCGCAGGAGCCCGAAGACACAATACCAGCTCTGCGCCCACCGCCAGCACCACCCGCTGCAAGAGGGCCACAAGCAGGGCCCGCGCGTGAGGCCCGGGGCGGTGCCAGCCAACAGGCCAGAGGGGGAACTGGCGGTGAGGATGACGGTGAAGGCGGGGGCAGAGACGGGGACGACATCCGTGATGAGGGCGAAGGCGGGGGTGAGGGCCGCGGGCCCGACAGCGACGGGGATGGCGAAGGCGGTGGAGGCGAGGGTGAAGACGGCGCTGGGGAGGGTGAAGGCGGCGCTACACTAATCGAGCGCCTGTGGAAACGGCGGGATAGGAGCAAGTGGACGGAGGAGCTCAAGCGCGCCCACGTCGCATTCGAGCGCGGTAAAGGGTGGGGCATAGAGTGGGCGGCATGCGTGGCAAGGTACTTCGACTTCGAGGCAGCTTGGGGGTATCCGGACGCAGGCTCCCAGATCACCGTCGAAGGCCGTCCTGCTGCGATCGAGTGGTGGATTGGGAGAGGAGGAAATGGGACAAGCAAGTCGACATCGGGGTACTTGGGGACGCGATGACAGCGGAGACGTACGTGGCGAAGTGGTGGGGATGGTGGGCGAAGGTGGCGCCGAATGACAGGTCAGACCTGTCATCGGTGCTGAAACTCCACGGTCGGAATGGCCTCCTTCACGTCATGGCCTCGCTGCTGTGGTGGGGAGAGCTTGTCGCCGAGAGTACGCCGGAAGAGCGCGCGGAGTGGCTGTTGGGGGTGGAAGACATGGCGGAGTTGTTGTCATCCATGCTGAAGCCTGGGGTTATCAGGAAAGCGTGAGTGAAAATCATGAAGAAAATGGGAATAATTACTGACCTTCATTTGCAGCCGCAAAGAGGCGACCGGCGCGCAAGCCCCCAAGAAGAGAAAGAGAAAGTAGGAGTCCTACTCGATGTAAGACAAGTTTGCTGAAAGTAGCAGGGACGACATACAGGAGGATGGGAACGTCAGGCGAGGCCGCTCGAAAGGGAAAGTGGGTCGTGGCGTTATAGAAATCCGATATTGACACTATGCACAGGGATAAAGAGGAGGGGAGGAGGACTAAAAGAGTGAGGGGCGGTGGATGAGGCAATGAGGAGGAGGACAAGAGAGAAATATAAAGAATGGCGCGTTCGTGGACTTAGCGCGCGTGGACTTAGAGATTTAATTATGAGAGACGGGGATCAAACTGCACAGCAATATTGACAGTGACAGCTGATGGTGTGCTCGTGGACCAGACAGCACAACTCTTTTGCATTCAACCATTGTGGAATAAAACGGCCTTGGAGAACGAAACATACATAAAGAAAGCCTTGTCTCAAGGCATGGGACAATTTGGGAGGGGGGAGGAAATGGAAGAGGAGATGCGGGAGGAAGCGGGTCTAGGCGCGGAAGAAGGCGGAGGTGGTCTAGGTCCGCCGGCCAATACAGGTATCACCCGGGGAGATTCGGAAAGAGGAATGGCGGCATGGTGCCGAATTGATGCGGAGTGGGAGGGTGGAAATCGCGGAAGACTACGGGACTGAGTGCGGGGCAACACGGGGCTGTGCTGATGCCGGGACTGATGCCGAAGTGCAGAGAAACACAGGTGGAAAAGGGAGGCCTGGCAACGTGGGATTCGATCATTCCGGGATGATGCGGAGATGATAGCAAGGACCGGGAAGGAGAGGAGGGAAATCAGCCCATGTTGTAGTATAATAGTGTAATATCCCGAGTAGTCTCGGGGGCCGTTTTACAAAATATGCGGAGACTTATCGGGCGTGGGAATATTGGATATTTTACAAAATATAGTGAAGCTTGTCGGGCTTTTAGAGTGAAATTGATGGCTAAAATAAATGTCACTAGCAGGGATTGAACCAGAGACCTCTAGATAACAGCTGACAAATCTGATTTATAATAACAGCATTATAACCATTATACCAAAGTAGCTATACAATTATTATTTCTGTTCCCACTGTCTTCGGCTATTGTTTGGCACTGCTTATTGTTTGTTTTGTAATGTTTTAAAACCCTAACCAACCCAAACCTAACCAAACCTAACCTCCTAATCTTCTAAAAATGACCTTATCTAACCAACCCTAACCTCCTAACCTTTTATAATGTCTCTAGGACCCTAACCCTCTAACCCCTAACCCCTAACTTCCCAACCCCTAACCCCCTAACCCCTAACCACCTAACCTCTAACCCTAACCAGCTAACCTTGGCCCTCTGGGCCATCTTGAGTAGTTGTGGCTTCTTGGCTCAGTTGGTTATTATGCTTGATCTTATGTAAGATTAAGCTGGAGGTTTTGAGTTCGACTCCCGGCCTTGCCATTTTCTTTATTTAACAGTCAGTTTCCCACGCTGGACAAGTCTCCTGTTATTTTGTAATACGGCCTTGGAGTCAATTCGGGATATTACACAAAGGTACTACAACCAGGGGTGGGGAAATCGGGGCGGCACGGGTGAAGGGTGATAACAGTATAGATTGATGGGCCAGATATCTATCCCAATGTAGCAGATATGATTGATGTAAGCTATTTATAGCATCCCTGGTGCTTTGCGAAGCCTGCATCATCGCCATCTGATGAGCTGGCGGCAGTGATGCTGATGCTTTGATTTGTATTCCAGAAATGGAAATCTACTTCAGCCGCAGGCACATTGCATTGTGCCTATACCTTGCTGGTCAGCAAATATTGGACACAATGCAATGTGTTATCCAGATATCTCTGGGTACATTACATTAATGTTAACACCTGTACACAGATGGCTGCTCCCGTCCTATCTACTCTCTAGCGTGTCTAGCACACGCTATCTTCACCCCATCCTGGATGAAGCCTAAACGACCCGCATCACATCCCCGCTCCAACCGGTCGAATTTGAAGACCCCGGATGTCTTTGACGGCTCCGACCCTTCCAAATTCGCTTCCTTCATGTCCCAAATTTACCATTCAGGATTTCCCCACCGACGATGAGAAGATTTTGTACGTCCGATCATACCTCCGCGGTACCGCCCAGAAATGGTTTGAGCCCTCTCTCTATGTCGGTGCTCCCATTCCGCATTGGGACGGAAATTTTGCCGTGTTTGTCCAAGAACTCCAGACAAACTTCGGCCCGCATGATCCAGTTGGTGATGCGGAAGCGGCGATCAAGGTGCTCACCGTGAAACCCAATGACAAGCTTGCCACGTATCAACATATCAAGTGGAATTTGATGCCTTGGCCAGCGTCATTGGGTTGGACGATAATGCTCTCCGGAGCATCTTTTATTCTGGACTTCCGCATCGCATCAAGGACGAAATGATGTGTCAGAGCTATACGCCGACTCTCGCCGGTGTCAAGCTCGTTGCTCGCATCATTGATGCCCATTACTGGCAGCGCAATGCCGAGCGCAAAATTGAACAAGCGCTCGAAAGGTCCAGAGGACAATCTTTGTCCAAACCCGCTGGTGAAACTTCCGGAACTCCCGGTGCCGGAGTTCCCAGAAATCAGGGCAAAGGCAAGGGAAAGGCTCCGCAGAATAGGAAAGGTGCCGGAAGATCTCCTGGCAATAATTCTCCCCCTGGCGCTAAGGGAAATGCTGGTCAGGCTGCGCCGCCTGCCAAGAAACCCTATGCGGATAAACTCGATTCTTCTGGACGTCTCAAGCAGGAAGAACACGAGCGGCGGAGGAAGAATAATCTTTGCATGTTCTGCGGACTACCTGGACATGTCGCTGCTGATTGTCGGAAGCGGCCGGAGAACGCGCAAGGCAGAGCCGGAAGTATCGGCTCTTCCTCGCAACCTCCGTCAACCTCCGAGTCAAAAAAATAATTAGCAGCTCGGAACCCTCAGTACCTCTTCCGAGCTGTGTTGACTCCGAGGTACTTCCGGAGGTTTGTCTTCACGCATCCACTCTTTCCCCTAATGCCCTTTACGTTGATCTCGATATATCTCTTCTTCTTGCGGACTATACTCCTTCCGGAACGCTTTCCGGTCTCGTTGCGGAGATGGGCCTAACCCCACCTCTCACATTTCTATTACGAGTTGCCGCAGGATTCAACTCCCGCTTACGGGCGCTCATAGACTCTGGCTCGTCTCATTGTTTTGTGTCGTCCAAAGTTTGTGAAATTAATGTGTTTTCTCCGTATGCGGTAGATCCGGTAAAACTCCGGTATCTCGACGGCTCCTCATCTATCATCAACTGGCAGCTTCAGCTGATTCCCCGGTTTC